CATTGCAGAACACTGGTGAATCCTGATCTTTAGAAAACTTGTTCCTCAGTTAAATCTGTTTTTTTTCTTTCTTCTTTTTTTTTAATGAAGGAAAGGAAAATTTACTCAGTGCACTACTGTTATCCCACTTAAATTAATGCAGTTATTCTAACATAAAGTGACAATGGTGAATCAGGCCTAGTGTGTCTTACTCTGTGAACTGATTGGAAGCATAATCTTTTCTGAGTTGCTTTCTGATTTTCCTTCTTTGCCACCAGTATACAATGGCAGCCTTTTCCAAGAGTTAGGAAATACCTTTTAATTTACAAGCTGTAAATTAAGCAGTAAATATCATTATGATTACATAGTTAGTTCATTTTGATATACACATATATTATACTCATTACCCAAATGCACATTTTAACAGAAGAGTTGCAATGCTTGAGTATATTGGAATGCCACGTAACTCAAAAACATCCTGCAAACGATGTGTAAATCAACAACAGCATCTGCACCCAGTTTACATGTGACATGCAGGTAGATCTGCGTGTGACTGCTCCAGCATGCAGACATGCGCTCGCTCCCCTCTTCCCAGTAGCGCATATCCCATGAGAAAGTTTGGAAATGTAGCCCAGCACGTCTAGGTAAGTTGTTTGAATAAAACATGAAAGCTGTAAGTCTTAAGAGAGGTACAAATATTATGTTAGGCCTTTGCAGCCATTTTCTTGCATGTAAATATGGCTATTGAAGAGTTCTAAAGGTCTTCGATGTCATTTAGATACCTGTACTAAATGAAGATCCAGCCTGTAGCAACCAGAACTCCATTTCAGCAGAGTCTGCTTTTTACTTCTAAAAGCAGTTAGAAGTAGATTCAAGGCAACATTTTATGACACTGCTGTCCTACATCTCCTTTTCTGCCTATGTACAAGATAACCGAATACCGCAGCGTGTAACTTCCAGCATTAGTGGGTGGTTGTACCACTGCCCTCAACTGGAGGATGACACGGCCAGCCTGCTCCTGTGGGAATAAGCACACGACTCCACTGATGGGGAGATTATGCTTAGTTCAAGCAGCAGAGGCCTGAAGTTTTGGAACAGAAAGCTTTCTGAAGTGTATGTGGCCACGACATAGCTGACAACCATGTTTTACACGTGGTTATGGAAATGTTACAATCATTTTTCCAGTGAATATTTGCCACGTAGTAGAAGCAAATGACAAGTATTTAAAAAAAAAAAAAAATCCCAAAGATGAACAAGTTTTCCAACCTAATCTAACATTTAAAGCATAAAAAGTGTCAAGTGCTAAAGTAATTAAAAATCAAGGACCTTAAGATTTCAAACAGATTTCTCTCGTTATCCTCCCAATTATTCACACAATGAAAACTCGCTACATAAAATCATCAGTCATTTCTGCAAACAATACTAATGTTTTGAGGCACTGGCTTACCAGCATTTAAACTATTATAAAGTAATATAATGATAGGATCCATACATTTGGATTTAATTAAGAGATAAAATAAATATTTGTCAAAATTCTTCTTGATTGCACATTTGGTATTGGAAGTTACATGGTCACAGAACATGAAAGAAGTCAAATACTTTTTGATCTACTAGCAAACTCTAAATACATCAATAAAGAAGCCACACCAGGCCAAATAGATTACTACTTTCAAGTAAGTTCATGAAAGTTTCCCAAATACTGTTATACAAAGTTACACATCCATGCTGAGTTATTCATCAAAGTGTAGTGAGAGTCTTGCAGTAGGCCAGGATTTTATCGGCAGATAACTGGCGGAGGAGCTATGCAGTGTGATTAAAAATTCCAGTTTGGAAGCATTGACATAGAAGTACTTTTATAATCTGAACAGGAGACCGCAGTTCTTGAAGTTGGGAAGAGCAGAAGGGAAGAATGAGAATATTTTTTACGTTTTAGAAATGCTGAGGCACAAAACACAGTTGATTCTGGTACTTTCATACATGAAATCCTTTCTCCTGTATGTGCATCAAGTGTAACCGCAAAGTCTGTAAACTGCTGACTATTCGTCTCTGGTGTCCAATGAGTACAACTCCAATTCTTCTAATGTCACTGCAAAACAAAAAGTCTCATCTTGCATGCAAGTATAGTAAAACATCTTGCACACAAAAGACCATAAATATACGATGAATTGCTCTACTTCAGAACAGTTTACTTTTCTGACTGGGACATATAAGAATGTTGCAAATGTTCAAGTTTTCTGCACCTGTTGATTCCAAATTTGTTTAAAGACAGCCATTTAAGAAAAAGTAATCTTGTAGTTAGAGCACTGGTATCTGTTGTGATACTAGCAGTCAAGTGATTTTTCCAAATCTCGTGGAAGAACCTAAGAGGTGGGTCTAATAGCCCATTTTTAGTAATGTGTTAGTAGCAAATGTTCTCCACTTCTGCTTGCAAAGGACCAGGGCTGACGCCCTCACTGTTGCAGTCCTGAGGCTGACATAACAGAGGCTGTGCTTCTCATTATTTGGGAATAGTGGCGAGAGATGATCTAAAGATCAGAATAGCAGTGAATCTTCTAGCTCCACCCAGATTTCCCTCCATCTCATGTAGATCAGCACCCCAGAGCAGGTACCTCACCCACAGAGCCTGACATTCCTGGCAGGAATGAAGTCAACAGCCCTCAGTGCCCAGCACAATCCACTAGCTTTTTTCTCTAAACATCATCAACTGCAATATGCTGAGAAAGATCACAGAGGTGGCGAGGGCAGGAAACTTCAGATATGCCTTGTCAATTGTGCAAATCCCATGCTGGGACATGGCATAGTCATCGCCTGTTTAGATACCCTCAGAAATTGTTTGACAATATAGCTAGTAAAGGAGCCCGTGGGATGTGACACGACCTTTATGAGTTTCAGATTTGCAGTTCAAGATACTTGGCTCTGTATCCTCCAGATGAAGAGCCGATGGATAGCGGCGACTATTGTGTGCTTGGGCTTCACATCCACATGGGGGATGATACACAACACTTAAGGTCAGCAAGGACTATGCAAAAATATTGAGCATCTTAGAAGCTAAAAAGAGCCAGATAAAAGAATAAACCTTCCCGGGGGGCGAAGCGGTATCAGAAATGCAGAAACAATGCATAGCACTTATCAAGGAAGGCCTGATAAAACTGAGAAAGAAGCCAGGAGGCTGAGGGTAACAGAGGTTATTTGAAGAAAGAAGGAATCTTTCAAAAAGCTGATTTGGTATCTAAAGAAAGAAAGCAGAAAAGATAATAACCTTAAGCAGATTATCTGTAAAAGCACAGAAAGGCAGGCTGAAAAAGAACTTGAGGAACAATCAGGAAAAGACACCTAATAATAAAACTCATAAAATAAAACTTTTCACAGTCTCACTGGGGTGCAAGAAGCCTGCCAGAGTGTCTGTAGAGTCTAATGATGATTAGGGTATAAAGGAGCACTGAAGGACTGGCCACTTGGAGAGGACTAAACCAATTATTTGAGTTGATATTCACTGTGGAAGAAATGGAAGTAACTCTCATGCTAGAACGTTTATGGAGTACTTGTCAGAGGATCTGTCTGAAGTTGAAGTGACTGCAGGAGAGGTTATAGGACAAACTGAAAAAACAAGCAACAACGCACCTCCAGAACAGGAGTCAAGAGTTATTTAGTCAAGAGTTTTAAGAGTTCAAGGACGAAGTAGTGGAATTACTAACAGGGATGTGAGAGAGGAAGGTTTCAGCTCTGTTACACTTGCTTAAAAATTTCTTGGTGCCTGAGGCCTGGAGAGTGGTGCCGGGCAAAATAAAAGGTTTGCAGGGGAGATCTGGGGAACTACAGACCTGTGAGCTTGAAATCATTACAGGGCATTATAGAAACTACAGTAGAGAATTATTGGATGCTTGGATAAATTATCTCCTTGAATCACTATGGTTTTTGCAAAGAGAAGTCTTGTTTTATAAAATTATATGTTTCCAGTGGGGGAGTCAGCATACATATGGAGGAAGGTGATTCACTTGATACACCCTATTTGGATTTCCAAAAGCTTTAGAGAAGATTCCTCATCAAAGCTTAAGCTTTTTAAGGAAAATAAGGAGCTATGGAATAAGAAGATCTTTGCGTGACTTAAAATAGTTGAAAGACAGAAGGGTAGGAGTAAGATGTCAGGTTTTACAATGTAGTCATCAATGGAAATCTGCAGGAAACTGAGATAACGTCGAACATTACTGTTTAACAAATCAGTAAATGGTCTGGAAAAACAGGTGAGAGCAGAAGTGAAAAAGTCAGTGGGTGAGACTGAATTGTTCAGGGCAGTAAGGGACAGGGCCGGCTGTGAAGAGCTTTAGAAGGATCTTATAAGGCTAAATGACTACGCTATAAAGCAGCAGATTAAATTCAACATAGGTGGATGTAAAGTGATACACATGGGAGAAAATCAGTCCTAACTTCACATGTAGAATTACTGAGTCTTAACTGACCATTGCCATTATTAATACAGATAGTGTCAGCATCAAATAAAAAATTAGGAGTGATTGGGAAGGGAATAGAGAACAAAATAGATAGTATCATTATGCTACCATAGTAATCCCTAGTTTGCCTAAACCCTTATACCCTTAAGCAGTGTTGTCATTTCAGACATGACAGAGGGGATTCAGAGACAGCTGAAGAAGGGCAGCAAGGTGTGGAACAACTTCCTTGTGAGGACTGACATAGGCTTGATGATTTTCACAGCAAAGTAAGAAAAGATTTTTGCCACTGATTTCAGTGGTCTAGATCAAAACTGATTCCCCAAGAAACAGTTAAGGATGTTCCCTGCCTGACCTTTAGCAGCATTTGGTATGGTCACAGAATTAAACTGTCAGATTTGGGTCTCTTAATCACATCTTTCTCCTGCATTGTTTTGGTAAAAAACTGTATTTGTCTTTTATTAGCTTAAAGGAAATGAAAGCACTGTTCCATACATCACGATAATTACATTACTGCAGCACCCAAAGAAATTCAGATTGATTAGTCACTGTAGGGATAATAGATTACATACTTACTCAATACTCATTCTTGAAACCATATCCAAAGTTGTGAAACCTGCTGCCATGAAGTTATTTTTATACTGACCCATTTTTATGGAGTCTAGCCAGTCACTGACTGAAACAAACAAAGGATATTCTGGAACTTCACCAGGTGAATCTGGCATTCTGTAAAAACAAAATGCAAAGGTTACCAAAGCAGTACAAGACTCAATTTACTTTGGGAGACATTGCTTTTATGAAAGGAAGGAATGAGAGAGAAGCCTGAGCTGTAAAGGTCAGTTCTTAACTGCAGATCTCTTTAACCCATTGTCTAAAACTTGCAGATCTTGTTAGTCTGTCAAGCTGCACTACCTAAACTAGACATTTTTTTTTTAAAGCACTGCAGCTCAGCAACAAACTGAGGAACAGACCTCTCCCACTGCTCTTATTTTTGTTCCCACAGAGCATTTCCTTCTGGATCTTGTATGTTCAGGATGATAATAATTTGTAAATACAGTAGTCAAAGTAGAGTAAAATAAACCAAATCTTAACATGAGATCTAATTTTAAAATGTTAAAACACCGCAAGAAGATTTTTACATTTATCTACAAAAAACCCCCAAATGGTTCCTTACTGCTATACCATTATAGAATGGGAATACATTGATTACAGTGTTCAAACCTAAAACTAACTCTAAAAGAAGCAAAAATAATAACATTTTATATCTTTGATTTTACATAGCATTATGTAGATTAAAGATGGAAAGAAAAAAAGATTCCAATTTTGGGGCATATATTTCCAGTCTTCTGTTGTGTACCTCACTGGTGAGGACCCACAACTTCCATTGACTTTGTACATTTTGTGTAGAGAAACTGCAGGAACAGAATGTAGGAAAAAAACACACTTGTTGTTTATAAATGCTTTATGATAGCCTTTAGGAGAAAGATATCATTTATTTAAAATTGAAATTTAGACAGCAAAAGCCAACCAACATTAACTGATGGAACATGACTTATGTATAATGTAGGAAGCAACACACCTTGGTATCTTAACTTACTGAGTTTAAACCACACATATTCAAATACAGTAAACACACTGATTTTCATTCATATCATCAAAATTATAGAGATAAACCAAAGGACAGGAGAACACTGTTAAGTACAAACCTCAATTAAAGATCTACCAAGGTCCCTTCCAACCTGAATTACTCTATGATTGTACTATTCTATAGAATAACTGCTGACCTCGTAACAGTAACACAATAATCATTCAGACTGACTGCATCAAGCTTTCCCAAACAAATGGAAAAACTTTCCCAAGCAGGTGAGCTCAGTAGGAGCTTGACTGCAGGAAAACAGGCATTGAGTTTTTAGATCTTAAGTAATGTTTTAAAATAAGAACAAATAAAAATGCATTATTCTGATGCTAAATAAAGTGACCTGGGTACAAGTAGCAAGTCATATATATATTTCTATGCACACACACACACAGAGACCACTAACTCCAGTGCATGGGCATTAAATCCCACAAGTCTCACTAGATTAAATGGCTGTAGCCCTAACTTTAGGTTTTCCTAGTAACCTCTCCATTCAACCTTTCCCACAGCAAGATATCAGCCTCAGTCTTTGCCTTGTTGCTCAGCCCTTCTCCAAATCATATAAAAACTCCTCTTAACCCACTGAAAGACTCACCCAGGCCTTAAGAACCCCTTATAAATCCAGGGGGTTTCTATGTAAGCACCTTTATCTTAAGGTGAATTTCATCTAACGAAGAGAGTGAGGCCACCTGGACCTTCACTGTTTTCAGCTGATATCCAGGGACAGCTTAATACAAAAACTGACAAATCTGTCCACCACAGCCTTGCTTTTCCTGTGGCTGCATTAATTTCTGTAATATTATTAATGGAAAAAACTTTGGGCAACAGTATCAAGAATTTGTTGTGGAATGGTAATGCCATAATCTCTTATTTGGTCACTGTTGCCATTCTTCTGCAGATAAATAAAGATTTAACAAGCTAAGACACAACTGCTTTCTGCAGGAAATTACTCCAAGGCAGTTCAGAAATTGCTTGAGCACTGTCAGATGGAGAGACAGGCTGTTGAATAGAGAAAAAAATTACAAAGAGAAAATAAGCACACAGGAGAAGCACAAAAAACCAAAAAGAACAAAGAGATTCAGAAAGATTAAGGATAGACAGTGCACAAACAGAGCTCAGACAAAAAAAAAAAGGAAAAATACCTAATATAACCTGCATGACGTGAGAAAAATAATCCTTATGCAACAGTTTAGTAACAATAAACCAAACTCTAAAAGAGAATTAAAGTTATTTGAATTTGTGAATTCAGAACTTTATGGCTCTCCCCCACCCCTACTTAATGCCCTAAAACATCTAATGATAGCCACCATGCGTTATAAAAGAACAAAAATACCAAAAAGAGGCTTACACAAGTATGTCCTCCACGAGGGTATGAAGGGTGCTGGGATTGCGGATCAGTTTGTCTAGGAAGCTGACAATGTCACTAAATTTTGGACGGTGGTTCCTCTCCTTTTGCCAGCAGTGAAGCATTAGTTGGTGAAGAGAAGCTGGGCAGCCCATGGGAGCTGGAAGCCTGTAGCCTTCTTCAATAGACAGTATAACCTAAAGAAATACAATGCATTTGAGTTAAATGCTGAAAGGACAGTGTAACGTTTACAATTAGCAATAACAATTAACAGCAGAGCCACCCTCACTTTATGCATTTCCAGGGCTTCACTCAAGGAATCAGGACTGGCAGGAGTGTGACCAGAGGAGATGCAAAGTATTTTGTAGGCACATGAAACACAGTAGGCACTTTTTTAGTGCACATCCTCTTCAAAGAAAGAAAGAAAAGAGGAGGAGAAGAAAGAACTAACCATTATCACTGTTGTTTTCATCTGCCTGCAGGTCGATGTTGTACTGAATGGGGTCACAGGGCCACAAGCCAACCTCGTACGGCCACTGCATACTGGGATGCTCTTATATTTGCGTCCTGACAAAGTGTTAGTGTGGAGCAATGTCACGATACAATCAAGCACTACAAATACACATGGCAGCACCTGGAAAATTTACTTGGTGATAATATCTTTCTGCTGATCATTAGAGTATGATTAATTAGGTCCCACACACTGAGTTACAACAAAGCACAACATTACTTTGCACAGCCTATTGCAGAAACCTGGATGTCCAAGTTGTTTGTGACTAAACAAAAGTTAATAAAATGATGGTGTTACCATATACCCTGAAGTGAGTAAAACTGTCAGATTCAGATGTGGAAAATGTGTTTGGTCAGGATTTGGAAAGAAAGAGATGTGATGTCACGGATAAATCACATGTATGAAAAATTACATTTGATCAGAGTAGAAGGCTTGATCAGAGAAGGGAGGCTTATTTTTAGTTACATTGGTAACAAAACATTGTCTGAAAAGAACATTAGGAGCCCTGCATGATGGAAAGTAACAAAAGTAGGTAAGGTCCATGAAAAGCTGGCTGGATTCATTCCATGTAAGGTTTAAAAAATAAGAGGCAAAGTTAAATTCTGAAATGAGTGGTGGTAGCAGTGGGGATGATGACAGAAATTACATAGTCAGGATTTCTTGTATGTAAAAGAATGGAAAGATATTAAGTGCCTGATCAAAAACAAAGCTAGGAAAAAAGATCAACCCTACCATGCTCAAATAGCCCTTCCACAAAAAAAATCCATCCAATGCTAAATGTTCTCTAAAATACAAATGATTGTACACAATATTTATAACAACACAGTGCACTTATGAGAAACATACCTACTGCATTTATACCCACTCTGCTTTAAGGAGACATTGATCATTTTCACACAGATGTATGGACGTGCTGCAGGCATATTAATGCAGCTGGAAGGGGGTACATTAAACTGCTTACAGCAAATCAATGTTTTATAGCAGTAGCTGTAGCTTCAATGCATTCAATTGTATTATCCTGGAATATATCCCCATTCTCTTTTTGAATTCTGAATTAATGTTGTTGGCTCCATTTAGCAATGCCTAATGCTTATGCTGCAAGCATTATGCAAATACAGAAGAATAATGAAGCTGCATTAGGACCTTAGCTCCCCTTCATGGCACGGTAGAGAATGGAACAAGACTCTTGTAGCTGTACACAGCTGGGTGTTGGAGTTTTATAAAATGAGGTGACTTGGTCCTATAGCATATAGCCTTAACCTTGAGTGGGGACACCTCTCTACGTTACTCCTTGAGGGTGAGAGATTCCTTGCTGCACCAGATCCTCAGTAAGTGGGTAACAGCATGCTAAACTGCAAAATCTTAGTTAAGTGATACAAAGGATTGATTGCCCATATATATATATAATCCTTTAGTTATAAACCATTGATGAAGTCTGGGACTAGGACTGAATCTAGCTGCACCTAGACTCCTCTCTGAGAAAGAGTTTAGAAAGCAGAGGGGTCCTTTCCAAAACCTTATGACTCAATGTGAGGGTCCCCCTGACAGTTTTGTCTGACCCTGTCCTCTCTGCAGTAAACAATCAAGTGAACCTCGCCAGCGAGTCCTGTTAAATGAATGTCACATTAACCTCTGAACTTTGATAGTTCACTATTTTATGTCAATAAATATATTATTACATCTCTCTTTTAAGTGAAGTCCATAACTCACTCTGACTCTCTACCCATGACAGGGAATTGGATTTGCACGGGGTAAGTTTCAGACCCATCGGCAACAGCGCTGGGAAGCACAGGCTGCTCCAGAGGCACCACTGTTTGCCATAGGGGTCTCTGAATTTAACGTGCCTGTGAGCACTGACAGATCAGATACGTGCAGACAGGACTGGCCACGCACATCCAGAGGTGATATCTAGCAGTAAGTGATATGATAATCCTTCCACCCACCTTTCTGGCTACTTGTTTATTTCCCTGGGATTTATTTCAGTGGTCCAAAATCCAGGCTGCCAAAATGGCTGCTATAGGAAAAAATACCCTCAGGCTGACAGAGGAATATTTCCTCTAAACCCGTGTCTCCTAACGATGGATATGCCCCCAGATTGCTCCTGTTGCAGGCTCAGGATGGGTGAAATTCAACCCCATGTGCAGGAAATTTTATTCACAAAACTGTCAAAAATATGGATCTCAAGCAGTCTGTCCAAAGTGGCTTCATAAAACACAGGTGTTTGTTACAGTGTGGGCTGTTGATCCTTGTCCCTGAAGTGGCAATCTTTAGCAGCCCAGAAATGCAGACATCATAATCTTTACTTTTAATTGTACCTGTTGCAAATAATTAATTTCTGAAAGGCATTTTGTTTTTAAATCAAAGGAAAAGGAAAAGCTTCTCTACTTTTATGAGACAGCATTCACTCCACACAATAGAGAGCTGATGAGGTTTTTCTGAAATAACGTATTCAGGACAAAAACCAAAAGCAACTACAATTTCCCAGACATTTTATTTTCTCTGACACACTCTATTTTACTACATCTTTGAAAAAGAAGTTACAGTGCATTTGGTTTCCTCTCTTGTTCAAAAGGAACATTTCAGTATGAAGAGAAATGCCAGCTGCTACTGAGATAATTATAATTTCTCATTAATACCATCACTTTTTAAAAATAAACTGAACATATTGCCTCATTAGTATCCCTTGTGAGGCAACTATTATTTTTAGAGTCTAAGAAGCTAAGGATGTGATAAGTGTCTAATACTGCAATGGGAATCAAGTCTCAAAGGAAGAATTAGAGCTTTTTAGTTCCTTATTCTGTACTCCTGCTTTGCTACTTGCATAGCACCTATCTCTGAACAGAGGAACTAAATATCCATATACCTAAAAGGGAAGAAGGATTACATTTTTCTTGGTAATATGTGATTAGATATTATATAAGAAGAAGCACCACATTAATCGTGAAAGGGCCTAAATGTTTGTTTCTACAAGAATGATACAGCAACAGTGCTAGCAATCAGGGTAACTCTCCACACTGGCAAATCAATGTCCCAGCTATTTCAAGCCAAAAGAATAGGAACATGAGCTTAGTTTCTATACGTATGAAGCCCCGAGTCTGCTAACAGAAAGGCTGATTTCTGCTCTCTAGGTCTGGTTTTGTGACAAACACTTCATGGCTATGAAAAGGAGGAAAATATACAAATATTCTGAGCTGCAATCAAATAATAAGAAAGAGGCTGTAGGTTTCTTTTCAGAGATGAGTGTTTAGAAAGTCTTGTGGGTCAGCATTAAGGTCAGTAAAATGGGAAGGATGTATTTTTACAAGTAAATCTTTTGTCAGGGGAGAATATAAACTATAGGGGAAAGGGAATATTTTTTAAAGTTAATTAGTTATTTCTGTGCCTTTTAATAGTTAGGCTTTTATGTTTATAAAGAGGCTATTCTTTTATGTATTATAGTACACAGATGATATTAAACACTGGAGTTTGTTAAATACATTTTATCATTTTTGTTTGATGGTAGACATAGCTGGAAAGGTCAAAGACAGAGTTAATATTAAATATTAATTATGATACCAAAATTATCTGAAAAATGTTTTATGGACTTCTACGTAAAATTTATGTATGTTTAGTTTCAAAATAATTTGCAACTGGCAAAAATGGCATCTGAAAATTAAGCTGTAATCATTCTGATAGTTTTGTTATTAACAGTAACATAGATTTTTGCTTTTGAAAGGTAACTGACAGATTTTTTAATGAGACTGAGACAGAAGAAAGTCCAGAGGGACATTGTCCCTGTGTCCTGCTGACATCTGAAAAATCTACCAGGAGGGAGAGGCAGCTGCTCATGCCTCATGGTACAGGTGCCTGCCAAGTGTTTTGATATCTGTGGGTTGAAAGAACTATATTAGGGTAAGTTATTTTTACTATTACAAGAAACTTCCATAAGTGTACAGACTTGCATTCTTTTTGCTACAGTAGTTTTCTTGCATATTGATTACAATCCATTAAATATTCCTTTTTAAAAAAACCAAAAAACAAACCCCTCCTGTAGTTCTGCAACATGCACTGATTTATACAGTGGCCTCTAACAGGTGTCCCAGTAGACTTCACTCACAGCTGCTCTACAAACCAAATGCATTGAATATAAATCTTCCTTTCCTCACATGAGCATTAGCAAGCCAGGCTCTTAGCACAATCTGTTCATCAGTACACTAGTTTCCTTGGAAAGTTCAATATCTTAGCTAATGTTTATTAATTAAGCAATAAGACATGACAGACTGTGCAGCAGCCCTAATTAATGGACACCTCTGGTGCCTGCCACACATCTAAGAAGTGCATTAATCAGCACCAACACAGGTCTGAAGTGACTTACCACAATAATAAAATGGTTATTTACTTAAACAAGAACATTTCTCAAAGTTAGCAACATTTTTAAACCTCTACAATATACTACATACAGTATTAAAAAATTTATGAGAGACATTTTCAAACTCAGTTGCCTAGAGTTCAGCTTCCAAATCCCTGTTTAGGAATTTGCAGGGGATAAGCAGAGGACACTAGATTTGCAGGGGCATTGGGTCTCTCTGGGTTGCACTGACCTGATGGGTACTCGCAAACAGCTGTAATTCCTGAAAATCAGATTGGGTTTATTTAGGTGAGAGGTATCAGTGTAACACTTGTTTTTGTGTTAGCTCAGACTCTCTGCTAACGCAAGACCTGTGCTGGCTCCTCATGATTTGACTGCTGTAACTGAGAGGTCAGACAAGAGACTCTTGGTAGACTGAGTTCAGCCCCTACTGTTCATCTGACTGCAGATGTGTTCACATGGTAAACAGGCACCGCGTCAGAGAGTGCTGAATTCGCTTCCCCTACCAGTGCCTCCCGTTGGGTAAGGCTGGGCATATCATTGGCTTCTCTGTTATGCATGTAAGAAATGAACATTTCACTGGCAGCCACCCAAAACATCACTCACTTCGCCATGGTCTGAGAAAGTGAATTAATTTCCCAAAGTTCTTTAATTAGAAAAGCAATTTGTAAGATGGAATGTGAAAAAAATAGACCCAGCTCTGTGAAGCTGGAAAACTTACGGTACTTTACAAAAAACCCACTCAATTCAATATTTTTTTTGTATTGCTAACTAGAGAGAAACATTTTATTATGATCAAAACACAAAGTGTTGTAATAGTTTATGTTGCCAGGTACTTTGCTGTAGCAGAACCTCTGACTGTACTTATGCAAGACCTTCTCAACAGTTGTTTGCATAATGTGTCTTTTATGAATCTGTTTAGTACGTGCCCCTCTCTGTTACTTTCTCTGCCATATGTACAGTATCACTGACCTTTGGGAAAGTCCTATTATTTCTGCAAAATAAGCTCCTGTGAATTCAGGGTAATTTATTGTACTAAAACATATGTCCCAATAGCCAGCAAAGTAAGCTTTACGGTACATCTAATAACTTGAAATTTCCCAGTGACATTTGGAGTCACTAAATGTATTTAGAAGGTCACAGGTACTCACTGTTAACATTTGGGCGCTGAAAGCCTGTGAGTAGGGCTCCAGAGAAAAGGCTCCAGTCCTTTGTGCTGCGTGCTGCTGAACTGCAGGGAGAGCCCCCAGGAGTCAGCATCATTATTCTGTATTAAGATACTTGTATTTTGAATGTAGGAGCAATTAAACGCTGCTGTCCTCGTGCTGTAGCAGAATAATTAGTATACTCTAAGTGGAGAGGTTGCTTTCTGAATTCTCACCACTGGCATGGCCATAGGTTGTGATGGAGGGGAAGAGAACAGGCTGAAGGCAACACAGCAGGGAGCTGAGCTGCTGGCAGGTAGATGTGTGGAGGAGGGATGGAGACTGTAGGCATTGTCAGGGGAGAAGGATGTACAGGAGAGGTGGTCTAATTCCAAAGACTAAACTCACAAGAGAAATGCTGGAGAGAACTAGGATTATAGTGCTGGTGAGGCTGTAGAGTACAAATCTAAAGGGAATAAGGCTTTATTAGTTCTGCTAGTCTTTTCTGAGTGGTTTGGTTGGGTTTTTTTCTTTTCTTCCCGAAACACTGTGAAATGATGTTTTTTAAATGAAAGTCTCTCTCAGATCCTTATCCCCAAATGACTGATCAACCCTAACAAGCAACTAGACTTGAACAGCTGAATAACTTAGCAACAATATAAAAAGAGCCATCTGGGAAAAGTTGTCAACTCTTCAGAACCAAAACAAAGGTATTCTAGGCACATACATGAGAGAGGTTAAGATGGGTTGACTGATATTCTGCATTTTGACACACAGACTGATGGCTGGTGTGAAGACTGAATATACCAGTTTGAGCTGTCATGGGGATCCATCAAACAAGAGAATTAGTGAAAATTTAAATTGTAGTGGAGAAAAAGGCGTTCCCCCTTTCCCATGCTTCATTTTCTAGGACAAGCCTTCAATTTTACTAGAAGCAAACGTAGGTTTTTTAATAGAAAGGCTTATTTGGCCACAACTTTCACAAAAAAAAAGTCAGAAGAAAACATAACTTTGTGATGAAGGACTATTGTCCTGCACTGTGGTTAAGCCTATACAGAGTTTTTAAGGAAAACAGAATACATTTAATTCTTAGAAAGAAGAATTAGCAACTACATTTCTCATGGAAGCTTAACTTTCAGAACTTAACCATGTATGCCCATTGAAGGGTACTGTCAGACAGTACTGCAGATAATGGGACTACTTTATCATCAGAGTACTTCCAGTATTCCCTCAAGTTTTGATTTATAGCTTGACTGAGAACTGCATCAACTTGCATATCTGATGCAGATTCCCAGGGATTTGGGTGAAATCCATATATAGTCAGCATCAGAACCTCACAAGCTGGCTACGACTCTTCGTAGTATGTCTTTATTCCACAGGAGGAAGCTAGTCAAGGTTTCAGTTATAGAGGGACACTTCTTCAGGTTTCATAAGTTAACTCTCCCATGGAAGTTCATAGAGTTATGCAGATTTAAATAAATTGAGGTTCCAGTCTAGAAAGTGAATGAGAAAGCAAAGCAGGGCAGGGAGTGACAATCATTTTCAAGGAACATTTCAACAACCCACAAATTAGCCTTTGGCAGTACTTACATCCTGGTTGGACATCTCCCAGTACGGTCTCTCACCGTAGGACATCACCTCCCACATTACAATCCCATAGCTCCACGCGTCACTTGCCGAAGAGAACTTCCGATAAGCTATAGCTTCAGGAGCAGTCCACCTTATGGGGATTTTTCCACCCTGGAAAATATGTTGACAACTTCTCAATATGACCAGAATACAGAACAGCAAAGGTTTAAAAGAAAAGAAAACAAAAGGAATCCTGGATGCTGAGGTTCTACATTCTGCCTTCTGTCAATTTGCTTTGTCAATTTGCTTTGTCAATTTGCTGCAAGTGAAAAGGAAGAAATATACCTTCTTCAGAATTTGAGAAAAAATTGGTTTCATTTGTAACCTAATTCACTAAAACCAGCACTTTGTGAAAAAACAGAAAATCTCAGTTCAAAGAACAGAAAGCATTTTAGATGACTCATGTTTGTTCAGAGTCATATAATTAGTCAGAAGATGCCTTTTGACTGAAAATATCCCAAGCCTGAAATTCCTATTGACATTTAATTGCCATTTAATTAACATTGACATTTAATCTTTTTTCTTAAATGAAATAGAAAGCTCTATTGCAAAATGGAGCACTGAAAGCACTTAATAAAATTGTGCAAGCAGAAAGGAAACTGTAGCCTTTCTATTATTCTTTACTCTTGATAATCTCTTTAAATTTTTGTTGTTCCCTTTAAATATCCAGGTAAACAGCAAACCAAGTGTGTTTCTAAAACATGCTTCCTTAGGATATTGAATAGTTTCATTCTGCAGCTTTCAACTTAAAATCCAAGTGCTACCACAAAAAAAAGTAAATCTGTAAGAATTCAATCAACAAACCTGACTTACTCTTTACAAGATCACAGTATACACTATTTTTCTCTGATATTAGTAGTTTATACCATTGAACCTGGTCTATTCTCCCATAAATAGTTTATGTATGAAAACTATTTTCCCTCTTAACAACTATGTATTTCTTTCCCAGATACATTTCTCTTTTCAAAAGTATACATTTATTATCATTCTCCACATAACTTTACATAAGTAGAGAGAGAAAGCAGGATGCTTAAGGTGCCACTAGATGGTAGAAGGAGGCAATCAGTAGAGCCGAGCTCACAGCAGTAGTTGCTTTCAACAAGCAGTAATAGATTCTGCTCAGTGTTGTAATTATTTCTGTCAGAAACAAAAGAAGAAATGAACTAGAACATCCATTTGGCAATTGAAGAGAAGCCACAATTAAAAACAAGTATGTAAATCTCTCTTAATTTGCTTTGCATATATTAAAAATTGTCTGCTTCTTGTTGACGCTTGACTTCAACTGACTAAGAACATGCTTGTTCTACCAAAAAGTGTTCAGAGGCAAAGCTCTGTGTCTGTGGTGATGTGCCAGTAAGCTAACCTCTCATCACCGAGTCCCACCTGCTGATGAAACATGTACAGTTAACATTTATGTTGTGTGATGGTTCAGATGACCTTTCTACGACAATACATTTTTTGCAGCTGCTTTTTAAAAGCCTCTGTTTTAAAAGCCTTTTTTTTAAAAAAAAAGCCTTCAAAAGCCTTTGCTTTGCCAGTTGTGGCTGAATTCAGTGGCAAACCACCTACTGATTTTAGTAGTAGTAAGGTAAAGGTAATACTTTATTTTGTATTTTTTTCTCCAAACATCCCCTATCCCCTTTTCTTGATCCAGGAACTTGGTGGCTGGATCACTCCTCTGGCACGTCAGAGGTGCAAAGAACTTTATGCCCCACCTGCTGCCATCTCTGAGCCTGCCCCAGCCAGCACTGCTGGGTGTGATGCTCCTAGTTCCTTCCTGGTACAGCTCTTCCACTTGGGAACCATGGGTATGAGGATGGAGATATAGGATGACAAAGAGATTTGTGATAGGACATTCTCCAAGGAAAGACCAGGCTAACTTCTTGTCTCTTCCTCAGGGAATATTTAAACCTTCTAAAGAATTTGGGTAAGAGCATTTGGTGTTTGATCTCATGGGCCAGTTGCAATGGTGTTAGGGTGGGATATGTGAGTCCAAGCTCCCTGAGACAGCGCAAGATTTAGATATTCAGTTCCTCAGATGTATACTACACACTGAGCTGTCCAACCAAACGACGTGTCCTCTGAGAAACAGACAGTTTTAGGGTCTAACTGCAGACTGTAGTTCAAAATATCTCCTCACACCACAGAGTTATGGGCCTCATCCTTTCTACTGGATCAGGTTTAGTCCTTTATTTTTAAACATTTTATTGCCAAACTGATGTAATTCCATCCTTAGATCCCCGGCTTCTGCAGGTTTTTGAAGACAATATTTTCCTGGCCTAAGTCACATACGCACTTTTTAAAAGGTAAACAACGTTCCTGCTGATCTGTATCACATGAGACACCCTCAAAGCCCTCCCTTGTCAGCAGCCTATCAGTCCTGGCTGACAAATGATCCAGAAGATGATACACTTGTTCCAACACAAGAGTTCACTGTCTAAACCTCGTCTTACCAAACAATTCCCCTTGCTGCCTTTTGCTTTATGTCCACTCAAGATACTTTCTGCAGTGACACCAGCATTTGAAGGAGGATGCAAAAGAAATAATTTCGTATTTTCTTTCCTTATCAGAGATCTCAGGAGATGACAGGAAAAAAAGTCTACCAGTTTCGTTAGTTGTGTGACTGCAAGACCTTGTTTATCAAGACAAACTGATGAAACAACAAATTTACTATGAGCCAGATTTCTAATTTGGAAAGTTTTATTAATCGTTTATTATTTTTTGAATTTTAATTAAAAGTCTTATGTTAATAATTAAATATCTACTTGTAGGCAGAACATAAATCTAGACATGCAAATAAAAGGCGTCTGGGTATTTAGAGATTTTATTTTTAATGTCTGTAACATAATAGGAAAATTATTTTTTAAAGTGTGTCCTTTTCATAAACCTGATTCCCAAATTATACTGAAGAAAGAGGTCACATTTTGAGCAGCATTTGCAGCTAGATCTGTGACTATTAGCTAAATATAAATGAGCTTTAAGGAATCTGATTCGACTACAACTAGGTTTGTGATACGGCTTTACTGACTGATGCCTTTTGGACTGAAACAGTAGTGGCTCATTGAGTGTGAAAATGAGAATGGAGAACAGACTCTTGACAAAATTCAAGGCAGTTCACGTTCAAGGGCGTAAGATGTGTTCAGTGTTGTAATGTAAAATAAAATTCTTCTATGCTGGCTGTAATGACAAAGTGAAGCAAAACCTCTAAAATTTTTACAATGGATTCATCTTACGTATGAAGATGTTATATGCATAAAAATGTAAATTTCAATACTTAATTATGTTTGCAGAATATCTTTCTATGCAAAAAAGTTGTTTTATTTATTTGAAAGCCGCTCAAAAGGTGGAGACTGCAATATGACTACCTTAAGAGATGTATATGACTGAACAGTCGTAATAGCTGCTCATGCATAATAAAAGAACACATAAGGTTTAGAGCAGTGAAACTATATTTCCTGTTTCTGATTAGAGCAATAAACAGTGTTACTGATACTGGACACGGCTTTTTACATTTTGATCTAGCTGGGAAAATAATAAATGCAATACTGTTTGCACAATGCCCCACCTTCAAATTAAGATAATTTATAAATCATCTACATTTTACTACTGTAGCAATGAAACCTGTCACAGCTCCCTTTATCAGAAAGCCCTTATGCAAGCCCATTTTAGGTTATTTTCTCTCTTTTGGGGGGTCTGGAGTAGAGGCAGAAGGGGTATTAGGAACCAAATTGTATTTCTGCCTCATCTCCTACGTTAATAATTATATCAGTGACAAGCTAATTTTATTTTCACACAGTAAAAGAACACTAACACTGCTATTCAAATAATTTGAATTCAGCCTTTTTTTCTCCTATGCTGGCAGCTGAACAGTGTCTATCTCCTGATTTTTTTTCCTGATTGTAATTTAATAAGCAATTTTACTATGCAGTATCAAGCATCCCCTTGGAATTACAATATTAGGCACACTTTGCTTAGCTTGTGGAACTGTCTAGAGATCAGCCCTTGAAATGAAATTTACCCCCTCGCCCACCCGCACCCACGCACACGCTCGCTTTCTCTACTGAGTTGGCAATGGCACTGTTTGCCACATATTTAAAGACAGAATTGGAGCTGCATGTTGCAGAATGCCTCATTCTTTACCTCTAATTATTCATGAGAGAGACAGTCTTCCCAAAATGCCATCTCTTCTTTGAGCTTACAACAACCAAAAGTGCTTATGATCTGTTATGTGAAAAGAGCCCAGGGGTACAACTGACACTGTATCTGGTCCAACAGGCCACAGCTGTGTTTTTGCCATCTCCCATTTGATTTTTTTGTTTTTTAAATTTTATTTAACATGTTAGACATCTTTTTAAAAGCAGGAGGCATTAAGAGTTTCTTTAATTAAATATTTAAACATACTTTACAACTCCAGCAGAACAATGTAACTGGCAGCTACAGCCCATTATTCTACCAAGATGAAGGTTGAGATGTCTCAGCAAGCTCAAAATACACGATGCGAAAAATGACAGAGAGGGCACAGGAGCAAAGAAGGAACCTGTTAGATGCCCAGAACTTTTGGCAGGCCCTGCTAGCTAATTAAAGCGAGGAGTGGTACCACTGAGAACCTGAGTTATAAAAGTGAAGGTAAGATGTATGAGCTCTGACTGGATGGGCAGAGACGCTGATAGATGCAAACAGCCAGAAGCACACACAGTGCCTCAGACTCAGCTGTCCCAGAACTAGCAGTGATGTGAAACAACGCCTATTTCTGCTGAAAAGCCTCTTCTGTATTCTCCTTGGATGACAGACACTGCAGAGGGGCTGTCACAGAGCTGGCTGCAGTTATACTAAACGCTGGGGTGCAAACCCATCAGTTCCAGATGCACAGACATCTAGAACTGTCTATTTCTGGGACAAAAGGTACTCAACTACGTGCAGCATCAGTGTCATCTGGCTCAGTAATTTCTATGCATCTGTCACTATTCCTTTATGTATGGTGTTGCTGAATTGTGTAATAATTTTCCATGATGTGGGTTTAGTATCTGTCTTTTTCTCCACTCCAAATGAGATAAATGGGAAAAAAAAAACAAAACAAACCCAAATCAAAACCCAAACTTCAGAGTGAAGAG